CGCTCCGCCCCGGGGGAGCGCTTGGGGTAAGGGGAGGGCTCGGGGCCCGGGGCAGCCCCGGTGTGCCCCGGGGCGGGGGCCAGTGGAGGAGCTGCAGGGCCCGACAGGTGCCCGCAGGTGCTCGGTGAGCGATCGATCGCTCCGGGGAGGGGCCGGTCCCGGGGGGGCTGCGGGTTCTCTGGGTTTCGGTGGGGAGAGCGAGGTGTAACAGCGAACACTGACCCCGTGCTGGTTGGAGAATAAAAGTTTCTGTGGTTAAATCCACTCCTCCTTTCCCCCCCCTTTTTTTTTTTTTAATTTTTTTTTCCCTCCCTACTCGGCTTCAGTTTGAGCTGCACCTTCACCCGTTTCTCCACCGAGGTGTTGGCTTAAAGAGAGAAAGAGCACAGCGACCAGGAGCGCTCCTGTGTTCGTGCTGTGCAGGCTCAGGTTTACGCTTGAAGCAGTCGGTTGTACTGCGTTTGGTTTTTAATGGGAGAGCGTCGGCGTGAGGAGGTATGAATGACTTAAACACCGCTCCGCAGAGCTCTCTTTCCTTACAGGCAGTGCCCCCACTGATGTTCAAAAGGGTCCACTGACCGTTTTGTTTGCCTTTGATATCTCCACTCTTGTCGCACCCCTTGCTCTCTGTGTGTAACATCATCTCCATGTGCTCTGGAGGAGTGCGTGTTACACTGTGTGCTTATGCTGCTCTGTGCAAATGTGCTGGTTCAGAGCGGGATTTAAGCTTTTTAAGTGCAAGGATACCTGGGTTTTGAATAGCTCTTCTTTATCTCCATCTTCATCCCCATAAAACTGAAGAGGTGCAGGGTGTGCAGGTCAAACGGTGCAGTTACGGAAGCAATAAAAGCTCCTCCTGACTCGTTTTCTACTGATTCTGAAGATGGGCTTTCAGTGTTTTCATCTCGGTGAAAGAAGCCTTATGTGGCCAAAGCACACTGAAAGTGGAGTCTGAAGCTATAAAGTGAAATGGGTGTTTTAAGTTCTGATGCAAATCAGACTCTAAAGAACTCACTTTTTGTGATTGTTTAGAATAGGTAAGACTTGTTGTTTATTTCTTTTTGGGCTATGTTGTTTTATTTGCAAGTGAGAAGTGTCTGTCCAGGTCATTGCAGTGGCTTGTGATGGTAGTTCCTAAAGCATAAAAGTTTGGTGTGCTAATTAAACATTTTGAAGTCAGACTGTCATAATGAAATGTGAAATACCTCAGGATTTACATATGGTATGTCTAGGTTATTAAAATCATTAGTATACTCTATTAGTACAGTTAGAAATACTGTGTAAGACTTAAGGAAGGACTGAATCTAGTTTATGATTGTACATATGTATGATTATTGTGTGGTATAAAACCATGTATACATTGTTTTATGTATTTTTTTCCTTAAGTTTCCTTTTCTTAAGGCACTCCTCTTCTGATGACAGTAATGAGCATTTTATTACTGCTGCAGAGGCTACTGAACTGAGTGGGTGCACACACTGTGTCAAGTATTGTTATTGCGTGGGTTATTCTAACCATAACAGTTTGTGTGTCTGTGCAGTTAGAGAACAGTTCCTGCCAGAACGCTGGCAAACCTCTGTAAAGGTTTGTGAAATGATCCCAGAGCCTTTTAAACAGATTTTCTCTGAAGGTGTTCTCCTTTATGCAGATTTCCAAGTGTTGCTTTCTTGCGATCAAAAGCAGGGAGGAATGTGTATCTCTAAAAATAAGAGTGGAAAAGAACTAACTGTAGCTTGCCCTGCACTCACTGTATTTAGTGGTGGCCTCACGTTTTACCTTGAGAAGTCATTAGTTGATTATTTTATTACTGTCGTCATGGCAGAGCTGGTTCTTGATAAGAGATTGTTTGCCTTTTATGTCAGCTTGATGAAGAGATTTTACATGTGAGAGGTGGCTTAGAGGGGAGTGTTGAGTATCTTTGGCAGACTCAGGGGTTTCTGAGATCTAGGGAGAAGTAAGAACAGGGCAGTGTGACTCTGGAGGAACCAAAAGGAGAAGGGCAGAAGTACAGAATGCCTTGGAACAGGTTCTTTTGTGTTCTTTCAGTAGCTGGAAATTAGTGTTTCAGGAGCACGTGTCACTCAGGCGCCTGAAGGGTGGGGAGGAGGATGTTGTCAGAGGTGACACACAATATGAGACCATCTGAAGCTACTGGTAATGCCCACTGACACACTTGAGCTCTGTTATTATAATTCTTTGCATTTTGTACCAGCTTAATTATGTGGATTCATGACTCCACAAACAGCTAGAGAAACAGATTATTTAAAGGAAAAAAAATATATTCAGATGTTCTAGGGGAAAAAGACTTTATTTGATTGAATTGTCCTTTGCTGTTTTGGGTTGATATCCACTTGGAGAGAGGTAGAGTTCTGTGTGTTGGTGCATTGTAACATCTGTTTACTTATATGGCTCAGTAACCGATAATTGGCCTAATTATAGTTAAGAATTTTGACTATACAAAAATTGTGTTAACAGGAAGGTTGAGCTAAATTTGCAGAGTCTCTTTGCAGCTAATTATCATATGGTTTTACAACTAATAAAGAAACCTTACAGCAACAATTGATAAACTGCCACAGTGGAACACTGAAATCTGCTGAACTCCTGTCAGTACTTTCTTACCTATATGCATGCCCCCTCCTTTTTTATTTACAAAAATTTGTACAAGCTTTGAGTTTTCGTTCCCATGAATCAGTACGTTTGAAATTTTCTGCATTTGATCTTCAGACAATTTTGTAATTTTGGATTACTACGAGAAGCCAGACATAGGTGTTCACTACCAACAGGATAAGTATAAATTTGTTTGATCTCTAGAGTAAGTTCATTGAGCATTAAACTTGAGTGAAGCCTTTTGCTTTCTTCACCTTCGTGTTGGCAACAGAAAACAATCGTAGAAGGTTTCTGTAAGCAGACTGAATACCTACAAGAACCTATTAGAACATTACTTCAGGGTTTGCTCTTTGATTTAAAAGCAAAACAAAAAACTCCACAAAACCTTTGCAATCTTCCCTTTCTTCCTCCCCACCCCCTTAAAAAAATGGGATACTCCATACAACCCCAAGCAAATGGATAATACAGATGAACAGTCCTTCTACTGGTATTTTACCAAGAAATATGTAAGATGGGATGCCCAGTTGAACTTTTATTGAAGAGTACAATGATTTAATCAAAAGCGCAAGTTGTTAAACTTTTCTGTACTTGGAAGAGCCTAATGCTGACCAACTGTACTTGCACCGGCCAAGTTGAGCAAGTGCTTTCTTACTTAATTTCTTTATTCTAGACAAAACTGTAAGGGAGGATGATGTGAAGTTGACCTCTGGAAGAGAGATACCTAAGCTACTGGGAAACCAAATTATTGTGACTGGGAAGAGTTGATGGATACTGAGTTTGGGTCAAGATAGAGGAGAAATCCCATCAAAAAGTGCAAGCGATTCTGTCAGCTCAACTCTTGCCTTTTCTGGTGGTGTATTTTTTTTTTTTTTCTTCCCAAGAATGGAAGAGCTACTGTACTGAGAGCCCTGACTGGGGGGTGGGTAGGGAAGAAAAGGATATGGAAAGCAGATTTGAAATGGAAAGTTGTTCTTCTTTGGTGGTTGTGTGTTTTTTTTGTTTGTTGGTTTTTTTTTTGTTTGTTTTTGTTTGTTTTTTTTTGTTTTTGTTTTTTATGAAAACCCGTGGTCTGACAATCAGTAATTTATGGGCTTTCTCAGAGGTGTCTGTGGTTTTGTCAGAGCTTGTTTATAGATAGGGATGGACCATGAGGGAC